TGGAGCCATTTTTGCTGAAAATTCAGGTTTGTAAAATCCTCAGTATAGCATTATTCTTCTTTTCTTCTTCTTTTGCTCTCAGGTTATTTTTCCAGCCTTGCTTAAAAAAGACTTGTTGACTATTCTCGGAATGCTTCCTTCGGCTGCTGGTGTTTCCCATGTTTTATTAGCTGATATTATAATACATCGACAGCTTACAACGGTCAGACAGTTCGTTGATCGGATGCTTAATCGGGTCGCCCATTCCCTCCACTCTGAATTGATGGCTGCGAAGCATTTCCGTACTACGCGCCGACGCTTCCGTCAAATGTCCTGTCGTACAACGGCATATTAGTATGCTGCACTTCCATTCCTAGCATGCTACCTCACGTGTACAGAAACGGAAATCCAGGCGCTGAGCTTGGACCTCTCTCCATAACGGATGTGCAGTTTAAGTAAACCTCTAAATTTCTGTGGGTTTTGTCCATTTATCCTATGTTCTCAATGAACTGAGCCATTTTTTGCTGAAAATTTGGCATGCTATCTTCAAAATAAAGCATATTTCTTCCCCACTCTCTCTCTCTCTCTCTCAGATCTTCAGATCGAAGAACAAGAAGTGCAGGGGGAGAGCAGTATGAACCGGGTAGATGAAGGAGCAGGAGAAAGAGAAGAAGTAAACAGAAGTAGAAAATACTAGCAGATTTTGAAAATTTTTAGGATGGCAGGAAAAGCTGTTTCGTGTCTGATCGCAGCGTGAGGAGCTTGTGGGTAGCCTTCTTCTCCTTTCCTATCTTCCAATCAATTTCGTCTCGTGTGAGTGGACAGCTTTACAAACATCGCTCTGCAGATCGGTGAACGGCAGTCTCGTTTCCGTTTGAGTGAACTGACTCCAGCCCGCCCGAGGCCTCAAATCCGACTAGGTCGGGGAGGGGGGAGGGGCGACTAATTACTTTGCCTTCACCAGCTAAAACGACCAGAATGTGAGGGTGGTTGGACAACAAAAAAGAACAATCACCTGATGGCGACAACTTCGTCTCTGCTGCGTCAGCTGTGCGGAAAATTGGCTCCGTGGAGAGGCCAGCCAGCGTGTGCCAGCTTACGGAACGGGGCAAGCCAAGGCGACTTTCCTCGAGTGGATTGGTAAGGCTCATCCCAAAACAATTACAACTCTGCTAAACATGAGGGCCGCACTCGTTTGTGGAATAAGTTATTCGAGTTCCTCCGAATTTTATGAGTCCTTAATTACCGTCGTTTACGCGTGTAGGGAGTATGAGACCGATACCGGCTACTACCCCATCTTCATTAACCATCAGTCGAGAGTCTTGGACAAGCCAGTGATGCACAGGAGAGAGAAGACTGCGTGAGGCCAGACGCAAAAGTGCACTTTCTTGGGACAGTTTGGTGCTAAGCTTTCACACCAAGAACTATCAAGCGTTCCTTTTTAACTAACAAGTTGCAAGCTGATTGTCTTGCTGGGAATGTTGCAGACTAAGGAACCAGCTTGATTCTCCTCTGGAACGTGAGCTAACTGACAGTGGCTCCTTAAGATGAGCTTTGTGGTGTCTCTGTAATCTTTGAGATCCCTCGTAGGAATTGGAGCCCAGGTCGTGTGTGGGGCACGCGTAGACGAATTTTCAAATTCAGGATTCACTGCGTGCGCCCCCCTTCTCCAGTCCTTTTGACATTTTCTTGCGGCTAGAAGTCAATATTTACGAGAAGCGGTGTGAGGTAGATGCATCAAAAGTTTGTCGCACGCTCAAAAAATTCAAGAACAGGTCCCAATGGCTTACCGTGTGGAACAGTTATGGGTGTAGTCGCTTGGGACTATGGACTGGGACTTGATATGATATCAGCGTTTACTTGACGTAACCATCGAAAGGATGAATAGAGCAACCTATCTAGAGATGGCCCTGCCTAATATTAAATTTTCAAACTTTAGTCTGGAAGTGCAAATCTACTTCTGGACCCCGGTCAAACGTGCAGGCTGAAAAACCTTTATACTCACGCTCCACATAGTACCTTAATTGGTTACAACGTCTGTTATATTTCCAGAGTCTGTAGCTGTTCGGTCGTACGGGGTCCCTTGGCTAGTGCGGCTTTAGCCCCTCACAGGTAGATGGGAACCTGTATCTGCCGCCAGTAAAACCGCTTGGTCTCCCGATTTCCTATAATCAGCTGGTGTTAACCTCGGAAAATACGGGTTTTCACAGGACTTTTCTGGCTAGTATCGACTTCAAGTAGCAATAACTGATGACGGGTCGCCGTGTATTCTCTCTTTTGCAGCTGTGACCTGTAGTAGTCGCCGGAGCTAAAATGTGTTTTTAAATATCAAAGTTTACCACAGTCAGTTCTAGCATCCACGAAGCAGCAGAGCCATTATGTCCTATATTCGGAAAGTCTAGAACAATGGACCTGTTAACGATTTTCTTCTAGTCTTTCAACAAGAAATCAGCACAACATGATTTATGATTCCGCCTGGAATTAGGCTCCATGCCTTTTGATAGTACAGCTCCTGTTGAGTACTGCATTGTAGTTAATCATATTTCTCATAAATTAAGTCAACGCTCTAACCACCTGAGTCGTGAATTTGAAAACTCTGGAGGCGAGTTACCCGCCCAACCTACTGCAAAGTATGGAATCCGGCAATTCTGGTACAGTAAACTAACTGCACAAGCAGGACTGTAGCGGGTCGTGTCTGGCTGACTAGCTCGCGTCGAAGTGCACTTATCAAAGGCTTACCGATGCGGTTTCTCGAGGTCTCAATCAGCCAATCACAGTCCCCGCATTGGGCAGGCGACGAATGGCATGCTTGCACGCGTTCCCGATGTAAGC